ACACACACACACACACACACACACACACACACACACACACACACACACACACATATATACATACATATATACACACATATGTATATGCAAGTACATACGTGTATGCGTATCAGGGCTAAGTGACCTTGAGGAAATGGTAGACCTACTCACAAGGAAGCCCTGAGGGCCACACCCTCTATATCTATCTATCTATCTATCTATCTATCTATCTATCTATCTATCTATCTATCTATCTATCTATCTATCTATCTATCTATCTATCTATATATGTATATATGTATCTATGTATATATGTATATATGTATATATCTGTATCTGTATATATCTGTATATATCTGTATATGCATATGTATACACACACACACACATCTATATGCAAATACATACATGTATGCGTATCAGGGCTAAGTGACCTTGAGGAAATGGTAGACCTACTCACAAGGAAGCCTTGAGGGCCACACCCATCCGTTCTCAGTCCCTCATAGCTTGTGTCCCCCCCACACACACCGAAATGCCATAAAATGGCCAGTCGGTACCTCTGCAAAGCTTTGGCGTGACTGGCCCTTTTGGCTCATCACCTCCCCCTCAGGCCTGTTTTAGACGCAGGGAGGCTTTTTTCCCCAAAAGCAGACACATTTTGCCCTTTTCTATGTTTTGGTCACACCGGGCCACCCTAGCTGTGGGAACCTTTCCTGGTCACTGAGCTTTCCAGTGAAAGGGGTTTGGGTAAAGTTCCACAAATGCCAGAGAGGTAACACCATGGTATCTTCCCCTTGCAGTTGACAGCTATGGCAACGGTGATTCTGGAGATGGAGCATTCGCAGTAGGAGACTGGGGTGATAAGAAAGTTCGACAGACTTTCATCCGCAAGGTAATTTGGCCAGAAGCAGCTCTGCACAGTCCTCATGACAAACCTCCACTTCTATGGATGTTTGGCTGCTGGGTGGGTTTTGAGAAAGTTCTGTAGTTCAGGAAGAAATGGAGGGAGTTGGCATGCTCACTAGCAGGAGAGATGCAGGTGAGAGAAAATAACCTTCATGAGCTAAATGAATATTTGTAGAAGAGGTTTGCTTGAATAGAGTCCAATATTCTGATGGAGCTCAGGATATTGTCATCATGAACTTTGACGCAGCCCTGATGCTTGGAGCATCAGTGGCCAGAATCCAATTTGGGCAATCATTGCATAACTTGCCACAGCTGATTTGGCTAACTGATGAGGTGCCAGAATGCCTCTTGGTTGTGTGCCTGGTCATGCCCCTGATTGCGCAATCAAGATGTGCCCATCATCTGATCAATAAACTACTGTTGGTGCAGCAAGTTACATAAATGTCAGTAGGATCCCCCCAGTGTTTATTTGCACAAATCCCCACACACCCTTTATCTTTCTTTCAGGTCTACAGTATTATCTCAGTGCAGCTTCTCCTGACCGTGGGCATCATTGCGATCTTCACCTTTGTGTAAGTCTTCCTTGTAGCACTCATAGACCAGTATAACTTGTTTCTGTAGACAGGTGTCCAAAAATGTAAATAATCTGCAACCAACCAATGTATTTCCCCCCTCTTGTTTATGAAGCTCAAGATGCTTACTTTCAGTTTCCACATATTAATTAAAGTTCTAATCATAGAGCTGGGCGCACAATGTTTGGAACAGTCTATTCATTATCATTATTATAATACATGGGAAATGTTAGCATTTATCAGTGACTTGATGATCTGAACTGATTTATTTAGGATACAGGATCCTGAAGTCTGTTTGGGAATAGGAACTATGTATTCTGTCCCTCACCCCCCAGAAGAGCTAATGTGAGACAAGAGACCTACCATGTAGTTACTTATACTACTACATGATTTTCTCTTTCCACAGTGAACCTGTGTCCAGTTTTGTGCGGAGAAACATTGCCGTCTACTATGTGTCCTAGTAAGTATGGCCTTCTGCTCTGAAGGCTTATTGAGCAGCGCTGTAGAAAATAACTCTCGGGTCACTTCTGAGGCAGGTCACACTCTTGGATGATGCCTGTGTTGTGAGTTTCACTTCTGTTCTGCCTGTTTTCCAAGAAGCTGAAGGCAGTACATACGGGCCTTCTCCTCCATTTGACACTCAGAGTAAACCCTGAGGTTAATTAGAAAAGAAGAAGAAACTGGCCAAAAGTAGCCCAGTAAGCTTTATGGCTCAGTTGGGATTCGATTTTGTGTCTCTTTTATCCTGGTCCAGTAGTTTAATTACTGCACTAGGCATGTGGGATCTTTCTCCCTAGACAACTTTGTTCGATTACTTTAACAGTATCCGCACATCCTGTTGCAGCAGCTGTTTGGAAGGGGCACTTGTCTTGTAAGACCTCCTTGTAGTCAAATGGGAAGTTGGTCCCCGAGAGTCCTGGTTGGCACAAGCACATGGCAAGGTCAGGCAACATGTAGTGTCTGTGGGCATTGGAAGGGCTCACTTAGCTGAGCCCCAGGTCTTGTGCCTCTCCTTAAACCCTCTGAGTGCTTGGAAGTCCAGCAAAGTCAATAGGAGTGGTGCAAATGCTGGACTGCTCCTTAAGGATTGGCAGGATTTTTGGTTGTTCCTAGCTATGGTAATAGGAGCAATGTTTGAATTGCCCCGGAGAAAGAGGCACGTGTCCCTGTTCCTCGGGCAAGGAATATTGCCTCTAGAACAGAAGAGTCCCTGGAGAAAGAGGCCAGTAAAGGCATGTGTTCCATGTTCCTCCAGCAAGGAATATTGCCTCTAGAACAGAAGAGGTGGAGGAGGTTTGAGCACACCGCAGCTGAGTGTTTTCTGATAGTGACACCCGACCTGTCGTGTTCTTTATCACCTCTTTGTGTGTATGAGTTTCCCAATAATGCATGAGAAGGAGGTGAAATTAAGAGAGGGAAGGTTGCATTCAGCCCTCAGGCTACCGGTTTGCCACTCCTGGGCTAGACTCACTCACACAGAACTGGTGGGATGAGTGTGTTCAGCAGAGGCAGTGGAGGTGAGGCCTCACTTAGCAAAGATGGGAGGAGCAGAGAGAATGGAACAGATGCTGGAATTCTTCCTAACGTAGAGGAAACTGTGCTCAGGAAAGGATGTGTTTGAAAGCTCTGAGGTCCCCTAATAAAAGATGAATGTCACTGTAATCAGGGGTGGAGAACCTATAGCCTTCCAGATGTTTAGAACTACCACTTCCATTATTCCTTGCCATTGAAGTCCAAATCATCTGGAAGGCCAGAGATTCTGTGCCCCGATACCAGATAAAAGTGCCATATCTCTGTCTCTTCCTTTTTGTGGTGGGATTTCAAGTTCGGTGTAGATGCGGAGCGAATGTGACCATCTCCCTGTCATTTCCTTCCCACAGTGCTGTATTCCTGGTTACTTACCTGGTGCTGGTATGTTGTGAGGGCCCACGGTGAGTCTGTCTTGGGTATAGTTGTGACTCTGAGGAGGCAAGTTGGTTGTCATAGGCTGCTAAGATTTTGAAGGGACTGGCAGTAAGAGAAAATAAAGCTGTACAACAATCCAAAATACTTTCATCAGAATCTCAAATACTCTTCCGTGGCTCCTGTGGAGTCAGGAGCACCATGTTGTGGGCTGAGATACATTGGTGTAATTGTTCATTGTCTCTAACAGCAGACACTTTCTTAATTTGGAATGTCAATTATAGAAGGAGGAAGTCATTTGGGGATGGGGGTCAGGAAACAAAGAGGACAGAGCGCCTGTACTTGCATGACAATTAGTACCAGTCAGAATGTTACCTTCTGCACAACTATGGAAGGTAAAAGAGTCCTGTCTTCGTCCTCATTAGGTCACCATGAGGTGGGGTTCTGGGATTGAATGACTTCCTTCACTTCGGAGTAAAAAAAGGTTGAAACCAGGAGGGTTTGCTGAAACATTGAGCTCTGAAGTGACCCTGCTTACATAACCTATATTTCCCACTTCTTAACCTTTTCCAGGAGACGCTTTCCATGGAATCTCATCCTTCTCTTTGTCTTTGTAAGTAAAGATCTGTATTTTGGGGCTTGGGCTAAAAACAAGAATTGGTGCTCAGAGAAGGGAATGTAAAAGTAATTTTAGTATAGTTTCTTAAATTCTTGTCTCATAGTATACATGAATAACACTCTGTTTAGTTTCCCACTAGCCCTATGGAGTAGTTTAAATTTGGAGCTTGTGATGACTCAGCAGAGGCAGGGGTGCTCTAGAGTTAGGGTACCACCACCAAAAAGGCTCTGTCTTCCATGTTCACTCCTTTGATTTCCTCTGATTGCCCCAGTACCAAGGTCTCCAGAATCGATTTTAATTATTATACAGGTCTTTATAGAAGCAAGCAGCCTTTAAGGCAGTGTTTCCCAGCCTGGGGATCTTGAATCCTAAGAGATTGCAAAGTGTTTTTTGGGGGGGAGGAGCGTTGCGGGTCATCTTATATGTTGTACCCCTTGTTGAATAATTTCTTTCTTGACCTTTCAGACCATGTTATTGAAGTTAGTGCATGTAAACAGGTCATTTAGGGAGAGAAAGAAGCCTCTACTTTTTGAGACGCATGTAAACAGCCCCTTTGAGGAGAGAAAGAAGCTTCTACTTTTTGAGAAGGGGTGACTTTACCCTTTTAAAAATGCCTTTTTATGCAAATGTGGCAGGAGGGTTGCAGGTTACTTGGCTATTATAGAAGGAGCCACAACCAGAAAAAGGTTGTGAACATCTGTCTTAAGGCCAACTGGGCCTAAACCATTTGGGATGTTAAAGGGCAGAGCCAGATTTCCCTTCTTGGTGCATTGATCATAACTACTCTTTTCAGAAGGACAGCTGTAAGAAGAAAGCAGGAGAGGGAGGGACATTTCCCTAAGTTTTCAGGCTTCCCAAATGTTAACCTGAAGCTAGTGCGGCATATAAAGTCTATTGAAGACAATAACTATACTGTATATTTAAGGACAATGATCAACTGGTAATTAGTTTCTCGTTTTCTCCTAGACCTTGGCCATGGGATTCATGACAGGATGCATTGCTAGGTAAGGGACAAAAATACTATTATTCATGTCTGTTCTGCAGTATTATGCTTCAGCTGCTGATCAGAGAGGATATTTCGAATGGTGACTCAGTGGTAGGCTTTCCTTGGGCTCTGCTGAAAAAAGATTTTCAGTCTTTCAAAATAATGAGACAATTCAACAATGATGATTCCATATGCACTTGGAAGAACTAACAGATCCTATTTTTGGTGGCTAAACAATCCATTTTTGTAAGGGCTGTAACAACTTTTGTTTTACTAAGGCAGTTTTTCTCTCTACTAATTATGTCACAATAGGACCACTCACTGGAATTGTAGAAAATCAAAAAGTATGAGGTGCAGTGCAGTGGTTGCCATATGCAGATTTTCTAGAGCATATAAATCAGAAATACTTTTGGCAGAAAATCCAGACTTCTTATTTATAGACTAGAAAAAAGGGGTATTGTTTTCAGAAAGAGGCATTCATTTCACAATCTGTAGTAATGCTTTTCTTATTAAGAGGGTATCTACACTTATAGTAATTTGATTCCACTTTAACGGTTATAGTTCCATTCTATATAATCTTTGGAAATGTAGTTTGGTTAGGAACTTAGAATGCTGTGCTGTAATACAGTGCAGTTCACTAGAGGTCTCTGGCAGACAATTCAAAGTCCCTTGTCAGATCCTGATAGATATAACTGATTCCCCCAGGAGTCTTACAAAGATTCATAGACCTCCCAGGCAATGAACAGATTATTTGATTCATCATAGCTGACATTATCCCAGTAAAGGGTTAATCCCAGAATGAAACCAGGCAATCAGTGACAAGCTTTTGCAAACTCATCTGGGTATCTCATTATGATTGTCTTCATTGTTGCAATAATTCTGGGCAAATTCCAAAACGTGTTAATTCTGTACAAGTTCTATTCATTTACATCATCTCTAGGTTCCATACTTAAAAATAGGAGATCAAAAAATCATCAGAGACAATCTTACAGTTGTGAGGAAAAAACTGTAGGCACATATGTTTAAAATCTACAAAAATTGAACTTAAGAGATAACTAGTGGGGTGCCTCAGGGTTCTGTTCTGGGCCCTGGGGTATTCAACATCTTTATCAATGACTTGAATGAAGGAATAGAGTATGCTGATTAAATTTGTAGACGATACCAAATAGGGAGGGGTTGATAATTCCCCAGAGGACAGGATTAAAATTCAAAATGACCTTGACAGATTAGATTCCTGGGCCAAAACTAACAAAATGAATTTCAGTCGGGAGAGATGTAAGGTCCTACACCTAGGCAGAAAAAAAGGAACTGCACAGATATAGGGTGGAAGACACCTGGCTAGACAACAGTACCTGTGAAAGGGATCTAGGAGTCTTGGTAGACCACAAACTGAACATGAGTCAACAGTGTGATGCGGCTGCCAAGAAAACCAATGCAATTCTTGGTTGCATCAATAGGAGTATAGTGTCTAGATCAAAGGAAGTGATAGTACCACTCTATTCTGCTTTGGTCAGACCTCACCTGGAGTATTTTGTCCAATTCTGGGCACCTCAATTCAAGAAGGATGTTGACAACCTGGAACATGTCCAGAGGAGGGCGGCCAAAATGGTCAAAGGTCTGGAAGCCATGTCCTATGAGGAGCGACTTAGGGAGCTGGAAAAGAAGGTTAAGAGGGGACATGATAGCCATGTTTAAATATTTGAAGGGATGTCATGTCGAGGAAGGGACAGGTTTTTTTTCCCCATGGTTCCAAACACTAGGACAAGGAGCAATGGCTTCAAACTGCAGGAAAAGAGATTCCACTTGAAACTCAGGAAGAACTTCCTGACAGTCAGAGCTGGTCGGCAGTGGAATAGGCTGCCTCAGAGTGTGGAGCCTCCTTCTTTGGAGGTTTTTGAGGCTGGATGGCCATCTGTCGGGAGTGCTTTGATGGACTTCCTGCATGGCACAGGGTTGGACTCGATGGCCCCTGTAGTCTCTTCCAAATCTGTGATTTTATGATTTTATGTACTGTTTACTTCCCTGCAAAAACTGGTATGAAACTGAATGAGCCTTGCTACCTTATCAGTTCTGTGTTCCAAAACGACTAGCTGTGTTTTGGTTTTGTTGGATAGTCTATATTCACAGAGCACTTTCCAATTGTACTTTTGCTTTTAATGCAATCTTTCTGAGGCACATTTTAAAAGAACTTTCCATGTTTAGAGCAACACCTGTGCACCCCATAAACTCAAGTTTTTTTTGAACTCTTAACACCTTCAGCAAACTACAATCTCATGATTCATTCAGACAGAGCCAAGACAGTTGAAATGGAATTAACCAACTTTAACTGTCCAGTATAGGTGCACTATTAAGTCTGATTTGGGTCATGGAATTGGAGATGCTGTGCAAACTTTTTGTTGTAAGGCAAGGAAGTGTTTGGTGTCTTATTTTCCTGGAAGGAGGGGTACTAGTGATGGTGGAATAGCCAAATTCTGCTGTTATCCTTGTTTTTGGTGAGCTATGCTGTGAGCAAATGAGTATTAAAATGTGTTCTCCAAACATTTTTCTTATGATTTGGAGCGCCTTCTGATGCATCTCTCTTGGAAAGTAATCTCTTGAATATCAGTAGGATTAAATTGCTTAGAATCAGAGTGGAAAGAAAACACATTGTTGTTCTTCACTACTGGACTCCGTTATTCATAGTACAGTGGTGCCCCGCATAGCGACATTAATCCGTTCCAGGATTAACGTCGCTATCCGGATTCGTCACTATGCGGGGGAAAAAACCCATAAGAACGCATTAAACTCTGTTTAATGCGTTCCTATGAGGCGAAAACTCACCGCTATGCGGGGAATCCTCAATCCGGCCGCCATTTTCGCTGCCCAGTAAGTATTATTCGTAGTACAGTGGTGCCCCGCATAGCGACATTAATCCGTTCCAGGATTAACGTCGCTATCCGGATTCGTCACTATGCGGGGGAAAAAACCCATAAGAACGCATTAAACTCTGTTTAATGCGTTCCTATGAGGCGAAAACTCACCGCTATGCGGGGAATCCTCAATCCGGCCGCCATTTTCGCTGCCCAGTAAGTGAGGGCAGAACGCGAAAATGCTGTAGCCGGCCATTTTGGAACCGCCAATCAGCTGTTTTTAGAACATTGCAATGCGAAGATCGGTAAGCAAAACGCTTACCGATCATCGCAATGCGATTTTCGCCCATTGGAATCATCGCGATGCGATCACATTAACAACTGCAAAAAACGGGTCACTATGCGAATTCGTCGTTAAACGGTGCACTCGTTAAGCGAGGCACCACTGTACTTTATCACAGTATGCACTTGCCGTTAGTATGTATTTCAAAAATGCAGAGGAATCAAATGACAAATATAGGTGCAGTGTTTGCACACCTTTGGCTACTATAATTAATTCTTCACATTTACATTTCTTTGCTATTTGATACATAAATTGTCCTGACACTATAGAGTCTATCATAATGATAAAAGCAAGCCTTATGTGAAATAATGGTTTTAACTATCTTTCCGCAGTGTGTACAGTACAAAGGCTGTTCTACTTGCCATGTTAATCACAGCTATTGTGGCCATAGTTGTCACCCTTTTCTGCTTCCAAACAAAGGTGAGATGTGCTTTTCCACACATTGGTGTGATCAGCAGATGAGTGGGTCCCCTTTCCCCAACACATTGTCTGAATTTTCTTGATTATTATTATAGATTGAGGTTGAGGAAGGTGGGTTTTTGATATATCCAGTATTCCTTGTATTAACCCTGGAAAAAAAACTCCCTTCATGCCAGAGGTGAACAACATGATGTTTTTTCATTGTAAACTGCCCAGAGTGGCTCTGGCAGCCAGATGGGCAATATAAAAGTAAAATGAACTAATTAATTAATAAATACACCATCCCTCTCAATTTTTTTTCCTGAGCTTTTCCCCTCTTCTGAATCTGGTGCCACACCACCAAATGTTAACGGTATGCAAAGGGAAGGATTCAATTTCCTCTTCATCCAAAGCATGCAGAAAACATGAGCCTTGATTTCAAGTTGATCCAATTCTGTCTTACTATCAGATGTGAAGCCTGCCCCGGGATCACACGATCTATAATGATTCAGATTTTTTTACATACTTGTAGCAGGAGTTCCCCAAAGTATGCCCTTCACAATAACAAAAGGCATATTGGTAGAAGGTCAGTTGGGGTAATAAGGAGATAATGAGTGTGATTTCCAAAACTTTGGCAAGGGTCCCTTTAACTCCCTAAAATGTCAGTTTATTACATTATATACGTCTGAGCAAGTGTGGTATAGTACAGGATGTGAGGCTAAGCTGACCACCTCGCTCCTCTCTTTGCAGTGGCAAGTTGACAATAATTTTTTGTTCCATCAGTCTTTCATATCTCATTTTTACATAGCTAGTGCCCTAAGATTGCCACCACTGTATCCTTTTTAATGTGTTTTAAATGATGTTATTTTTAATTTGTTCTTACATGATTACTTCATTGTTTCCATCTTTAATACATTTTAATGCTTCTGCTGTGTTATTTTAATTCCTGTCTTTTTAAATGATCTGTAAGTTGCCTTGAGTCCCACTTGACTGCATATAACATATAATACATTAAAACAGGAGCATTTCTGGGCTGCACTTTTCATAATCCCTGCCCACTCTCTATCCTGATTAAAGCTGACACAAAAATTATAGTGTGTTTGGGGGGGGCAAGGATCAGCGTAGAGGGCTATAGCTCCTCATCCCTGTAGTACTGTGATTCCCAACCTTGGTCCCCAGATGTTTTGGACTTAAATTCCCAGAAGTTTTCACTATTAGCTGGCTGGTCAGGATTTCTGGGAGTTGTAGACCGAACATTTGGGGACCCAAGACTGGGAACCTCTGCTGGAGTAGAATTTTTTTTTTGCTTCTCCAAATTGTTGTTGTTTTCGTGTGACATACAGTGGGGTCTCGACTTACGAACGGCTCGACATACGAACGTTTAGACTTACGAACCGCTCTCATAGGAATATATGGACTCGACTTACGAACTTAGATTCGAGTTACGAACTCTTTTTTTCCCTTTTTTTAAAAGCTAAGTCATCTTAGGTTAAAAGGAAAAAAGAAAAAATATCCCCCTCTAGTGGCAGAAGGCAGAATAGCAGCTTCCCATTAGTTTCTATGGATGAAAACAGCAGATATGGATTAAATGGTTTTCAATGCATTCCTATGGGAAATGCAGATTCGACTTAAGAACTTTTCGACCTGAGAACTGCCTTCCAATACGGATTAAGTTCGTCAGTCGAGACCCCACTGTACGAAGATAGCAAGAGGTAACACTGAAGTTTGGAAAGTCCTGCTTCCCATCAATGTTTTTTTAATGATTTTTCTTGCATTCCACTATGTTTCTATATTGTCTGACATGGATTGGGGGGGAGGGGGGGCTAAGAAGGGCATTTTGTAGGGCAAAATGAGGAGTTGTTGGTAATGGGTTACTTGCCATCTGCCTCTTTCTCATTTACATGTCTTCTTTACGCTTCTTGGCAGGTGGATTTCACATCCTGCACTGGCTTGTTCTGCGTGTTGGGCATTGTCGTCATGGTGACTGGGATAATTACAGCCATTGTCCTGTCCTTCAAATATGTAAGCACATCAAAAGACATGTGGGATCAATGCTAGTCAGAGCTATACATCTGGATTTGATGCTTGGATTTTTTTCCTGACAGCTCCAGACAGTACATTTAATATGTTTGTGATTGAGTTGCAGCATTGTATATTGATATGAATACCCATCTAATTTTGAGAACACGTGGTTCCAGGGAAGCTCAGTTATGGTCTGGAGGGTATTGATGATCTTCATCCTGTCTGTCTTCATGTTCAAATTGCTTAATTGCTAGCCCAGACCATTGGGCCTGGGTCCCTCCTGCTATTCACCTTCAATTCTGGCCTGCTGGGACTTCTTGTGCCACATGAAGAGGCCCTGTTGAAAGTGTTGCTAAGTTTAATGAAGTAAAAAAAATGCCTGCAGAGAAACAACTGCTTGGTTCTCTTTGCTTCCAGATCTATTGGCTTCACATGTTGTATGCAGCCATTGGAGCAATTGCCTTCACCCTGGTGAGTAGAGTTATTGTCTGCATGCACAATTGCTGGGCTGCTCATTTAAATTTCTTACCTGTCCTGCTGTAGGATAGATGGGAAACCAAAACCATATCTGTATCTTCTTTGTCCTCTCTACAGTATTGCAAAGAATGACCCAGGACATAGGTGTGGAACCATATTGGCCCTCCAGATGTTTTTAAACTAACTCCCATAATCCTTTACTCTGAGGCATGCTGAGAGAGGCTTCAGGGAATAGTGCAAAACATCTGAAGGGTCAATGTTTCATGGCTTCTAATGTTACATGCCATTATCTACTTCTCTTGCTTTCTTAACTTTAGTGCCTTTGCCGTAGTTAAGTCCTCTTTGACATTCCTGCCTGCTTCAGAACTCGAGGCAGAAAATGCGGTTGGAGGGGTACCTGGGTGGCTGAGGGCTGCTCCCATTTTCAGCTGCATGTTTGGATTAGAAGGGGAGGGGAAAGCCCTGTGCACATCATCTATGAGGGCTGTAAACTAACCTTTGTCTCCCATCCAATATTTTAAAACATTCAATAGCCCTGTGTGGTTTATCACTGTCACAGTACTAAGGTTGGTATATGTGGCGTCCACCCTCGGGCCCCTTTTGCTTGACCTTCAAGCCTCAGAGCACACGAAGGCAAACACTCTCCTCTTTAACACTGCTGCCACCAGGTGATCCCGAAATCACCATTACCTCAGAAAGATTCAGGTCCACTCTTCAAGTTCTTTTAAATAAAATTTTTGGTTTATTGATTACAGAGATTGATTCATAAATATCTTCAGTAGCTAATCACATCTCAGAATTTCGCAAACTACACACACTATTGTTTTCTCTGACTTTTCTCTACTGCCTCACTCTTACATTTCTCTTACTGACCCCCTGATTGACTCAGGCTCCGCCTCTTATAGCATCTCTTTCAGCTCCGCCTCTCAGCAATATTAATATGCATGAACCATTATTACATAACAAACATAAACCATTACATAATATAACATAAACCATAGACCTAATAAATAGAGAACGCTACAACAAACATGTCCTTTTTTTCTGTCCTTGTCACCTACAGACAATATTTCTTTATTGGAGGTGATTTTGCTAATGAGAAACCTCTTAGTTATTGTTATTTATTTATTTATTTGTTTATTTGTTTATTTGTTTATTTGTTTATGCATGCTAAACCTTCTCCCCATAGGGGACCCAAGGCAGCTCACAACAGATAAAACTATAAAACAAAGAAAGGCGTTACAATCCTATATAAAAATTCTAATAGAAACAATTATATATTAAACATTTGTGTACTTCCCCTTCTTACATCGGCAACCCTAGATCAGCCCAGTTTAATATTCTTGCTTTCTGTGGATTGGTCAGACCCTTATCTCAGCTTAGGAACATGCCTGCCTTGAGAGAATAATATTTACCTATCTTAAGCAAAAGCTCAATGGCTGGAATCTGATACATCACCTTCGAGCATAGCAGAGGAGGATATCTTGTCCTCTCCTTTCCATCCTCCTTTTCCCCATTTCTATCCTTTAACTTACTTTAACAACCATGTCAATGCATGTGGGTATGTACCTGTCCTGTGAATTAGCACTTGGAGTCTAGATCTTCTGCATTTATCTGCTCTGGAAGATAATAATGTATTTAAACTGTGATAGTATATTGATTTTAAGTGTTTAACTCTTGGCTTTCTACAGTTTCTTGCTTACGACACCCAGCTGGTGATAGGCAACCGAAAGCACACCATGAGTCCTGAGGAATATGTCTACGGAGCCCTCAGAATCTACACAGACATTGTCTACATCTTCACCTTCCTCCTTCAGATTATAGGCAGCAGAGAATAGAAGATGGACTCTTGGGTGCTTTGTCTGGACTTTCAGCAGCCTTCCCCAGAGGCCTTGGGGATTGTGACTCTCGAAATAGAATGTTCTGCTGCATGGCTCTTGCCTCAAACCCATTTATACAAGCTACTTAGAGGACTGATATAGCAGACAGAAATAAGAGATAAAGGTGGGAGCCCTTGTATGGATTATAGTGTAGATCCTAACCTGCAAGATGCATATTATTTTTCCATTTCAATGTGTGGAGCCTCTTTCTGTTTCTGCTGCTCTGGATACATGAATGTAGAGTGTATTACTACTTTGGTGTGATGTAACCTAGCCCTTTTATTCTGCTACATTTATTTTATCTACTTCTCTGCAATGTAGCTGCCTCATCCAGTTAAGAAATCCAAAGCTCCAGGGCTCTGTTACATAAGTGCAAATAAAGTTTATATTTTTGAATTAAGATTTCCTATATTTATGGTTTAGAGATGGGGAGCAATGTTTACATTGATTGCCTTAGTAAGGCTAATAATAGGATCATGTACATGTCCACTGAGGAGTAAGTCCTACCAAGGTTAGTGAGACTTACTCTCAGATAAATGAGTACAGGATTGCATCCTAAGGCTGCAGTCCTTTGCATATCTACCTGGGAGTCATTCTCTGCTGAAATGAATGGAGGCTATTTCTAAGTGACACATGCATATCTTGGCATTTTAAGATAACAACCCTGTGCCCACTTACTTGGTAGCAAATCTATTTGAAATCGTTGTTCATTTCTGTGCAGACATTTAAATAAATGGTTATTATTGTACTTCCCTGTGGTTTGAGGAATATTGCAGTAAAATACAGTATATTAAATCTGTAAAATCGGTTTTCTGATTATAAAAGCAGGAAGAACCAAGCAAGAAATGTCAACAATAAAGTTGGCAAAATGTACCAAATGACCAGTCACTCTTAGTAATCAAGCTACTGTAATGTAAACAGATTGAGGTTTCTAGGTCACCTACAGTAGTTTCACACGTGTTGAACGCTGCGTGTGTGAAACTGCTGTATTGTTGTCAAAGCACATATGATAACACACCATCTCTCTTCATGCCTAGAACTGGGCTGTAAATAAGATGATTTCAGAATAAGGACACGGATGGTTAATATCAGAAGAGGATATATCTCTCAGTAGGTATTGTTGACAGCTCTGTGAACAAACTTACTTTGGAAGCTATTTCTAGGGCAAATGTATCTCAAAATTGACCTCCATCCCCTCTCAGAGCCCAACCTGCTCATGACAAACGTGGCAGGCAAACACTTGTCCTCTTCTAGCTGGAACTGTGCTGACAGCTCTATGAACAAACTTACTTTGGAAGCAAATGTATCTCAAAATGGACCTCCATCCCCTCTCAGAGCCCAACCTGCTCATGACAAACGTGGCAGGCAAACACTTGTCCTCTTCTAGCTGGAACTGTCATGTGTTGCTAGTCCCAGGAAGACTCAGAATGCCCCGCCTCACGAAGCTGAATCCTGTGGCATCAAAAATGAGGTGAACTTGGCAGCAAAGAGAGCTAATTTTCAGACAGGAGAGAACAGACAGATGTGCTTAGGGTCCGGAATCCTTAAAATCAATTGTTAATCCCACTTAGAGTAGACCTAATGAATCAATGGAATGTACATAAGTGTTGATTTGTCAAGTTCCTATTGATCTGATAGATCTACTGTTGCTGGAACGGACAACCTGGGACTTTCTGCATATGAAGTATGTACACTCTGTCTTTTGAGTCCTACCCAGTCTGAGCTCTTGTTTGCTGATTCCTCAGTCTAAAAGTGAGTGTGTTCAGTTGCTGGAACCTCTAGGTGGCAATATGTTCTCTCTGGCTTACTCTTTCCATATGCAATACATCTGTGAGTCAAGGAACTGAGAGGTGATACTTGGTCTGCATCCTAAAATAGCCTATCGATTGCCAGAAATCCAATATCCAATGTCAGTCTCATTTTAGCGAACCTATAATCTTCATTGATTTTACAGCATCGGACGCAGTTCATTATTTGCCTCCGGCTGGCAATCCCTGCCTGAATCTCTTGGAAGCATGTGTAGCTCTGAACAGTTCTATCTTCCATAATCTATCCAATTCCTTTTAAAAAGCATTTTAATGTGCTGCTGCCAGCATTTCTCCTTGTGACAACAAAATCCTAAAGTTATAAATGTGTGCTTTGTAAAAAAGTACTTTCTCTTATTTGTTCTGAATCCCACACCACTTATCTTCATTGACTGCTTCCAGTTTTGAACCGGAGGAATTTTTATTTTAGATGATTTAGGATTTTGTGGATCACTATCAATCCCTTTCCCCCCTAAGCTAAACATTCGCAAACATCATGATCTTTCCTCATATAGAGGTTGTTCCAATCGCCTGATCATTCTGATTGTCATTCGCCTGCTGTTGTATATAGTGGATAGCATGTCAGACTATGACCCAGGAGACCTGGGTTCAAATGCCCATTCAGCCATGGAAACTGACTGGGGCTACTGGTATGTTAAACCACTTCTTAAACATTCCACATCCCTGAAAAAGCTTCTTAGGGTCACCATATGTTAGAAGAGCTGTGATGGCACAAAACAGCAGCAAGAATTAAAAAAAACTGCACACAGTTTTCCAGAGGTAGTTTTGCCAGAGATTTATATGAACAAAGACATTACAATATTAACAGCTTGCTTTTTGATCGCTTCCATTTATGGTCCCTAAGGTGGAATTTCCCATTGGTTCAGTCTTTTTGTCAGTGAGTGTATATATTATGGGTTGCATACACAACAAAGGGAGTTTAGAATTGCATTTATTTGGGATTATAGCCCTTTGGTTACACAGTTGCATAAACCAAAGAGTATGTCAGATGCCTTGTATTACATGTAAACTGCGCAAGACAAATATATACTTTTAGGACAAGGCTTGTACTGAAGTGTCCCACAGCTTTTGCTAGGGCTTCAACCTAGCATTCATGTGAAGGGTGTTTGCCATATCTATGGCTTGTCTCCTGGGGACATTCTGGTTCCGTCCCAGAGGGCATTTTTAGCCTACAGGAAGAATTAGATGAAGTCAACTCCCCTGCGCCCTGGACTCTTCCAACTTCCTTCAGCACATCTAAGACTTAACACATCAAACAAGTGTGGTGTTTTTAAAAAAGAAGAATCCCGCAAGCAGACTTGCCAAAGTTCTACTCTTCCTCAGAAAGCAAGCAATAACAGGTCACCACACCTGCAAACATTTTGTCCCTCTAACCCTTGTGTCACTTGATGCCTTTTATATTGTACATAACCTATTGTGATAATATTTTTTACTGGGCCAACCGAAACATCATAAAAACGTATGTGTGACTGTCACCTGACAGCAGTAGGCTGGGAGCCATGAGCGATATAAGAATGCCCATTGTGACAGAGCAAAAGGACAGACCTACTGCTGTGAGAGAGCTAAGTGCATCTATTACCGTAGAGGGATATGAACAGCTTGATAGTTCCATTCTTTCGTCAATGAACGACTGCGACTTTGTTATCTACGTTATCATCAGGACATGGAGCTCATCAGCATGGAATGAATACAGGGGCCATGTATTTGTGCTTCTTGTGTCTGAGGAAGGGAATTTTGATCCACAAAAGTTCACACAGAAATAAATCTGTTAATCTTTAAATACTACAATATTTTGCCTCCCTCTTTTACTTTTCTTTTTGCCAATGTGCTGGGACACTTTAACAGCTACTAGGAAGGAA